GAGGTAAGCCAATCATTCATTACCTACACAAATGTCCAGACATTCAGTTTTCAATAACCATAACTCCAGTTTATGTACTGCATAATCTTAACTGGAAGGAGGTGTGTTCAGCCACCYTATTCATCCTTCAGGTAAAGTCATACTTCAGCAGCTATAGAAATAAATGTTGATGTAGGCAATTGAAAGAGTGTCTACTGTCTCATACATGATCTCTATTTTACATTGTAACTGTAAATTCCAAGAGTTATTTTAATAATGTTCTTTTCCAGCTTGAWTTTTTTTTATCTGGATTTATTTTGTAATCTAATGGTCCATGTTATTTCTCTATTTCTAATACTAATATATTAAAATGAAATAATATAGTCCCTATAGGTTATCGAAGTTATGTGTCTTAAGCTCAAAATTTTGAACCATTAACTATATTGTTTGCACAACTGAAAYGAACCCTAGTTTCTCTATAGTTTTTCAGACTATTCTAAAAGAGTAAAATCTGTGATTTTTCTTTCTTTTTTTTTTAAGATCACATAAAAATCTGCATTTGAAAGGRGGAAAAATGTACTGGTCGCAAAGAAGAGAACTAGCACTACATTTATGAGATGATGAATATTTGTATGTACAACTACTTACATGATCTGTGTTCTCTGCCTGGATGGATCTAAAACAGTTGCAGAGGAAACAAAACCACTGCAGGCTAAATACAAACATTCTTTACTTTGCTATTTTTTTAATCTTAAATTTCCTTGGATGGCAAACCCCTAGTCTTACATGTGTTCTGTATTTGTAGGTACGTCCCTGTCAGGAAATGCTGTGATRTGGAAGTTTCTGACAAATAAAGTTCTTGGCCTTAAACATTCCACAGATATTACTCGAATGTCAGAAAGAATAATTTCCAAACTTTGGCCTTGATTCAATATGTCTTTATTTAAACCCAAAATGTTCTTGGACATAATTAGTGATACACATATGGGTTATATAGTCATTGGAGTTTGTCATAAAAACAAATAGGGAAGATATAATTAATTCCACTTTCCATGGTGCTGTTATTGCTTGTTTTGCATGAAGAGGCCATAGATATAAATCCCACTATATCCTCAAAGTCCTTTGGCCCCCATCTAATAACTAGGGATGGAACAAACAGGTTTTGTCTAGTTTTGCATCCAAACGAATATGAGATACCAAAAGGTTTAGTCTAAAAGTATTGGCCTTGCATTCCAATCACCATGAACTCTAAAGTAAAGTTCAGAGGAGAAACGAGGGAGGAAACTCTAATGGAGAAAAACAGAGTGAAAATAAAGCAAAGTGAAACAATGTGAAGACAAATCATAAGGCAAATATCAAAACTCAATAAAAGGGCACAGAGAAAGGAAATTGAAAAGACAGACATTAGTATATTCTCTGCTTTTCTTGGAGGAAAATATGGGTGACAGAAATTCATAAAGTTCTGCAATCAGTAACACATCTCAGAGGTGAAAAATTCCTATTTTAAGTGATTCAGTCATGAAAGTGAAAATTAAAAAAGAAAGGTTTACCTATCTCCATTTTTTCTTTAAACCAGCAAATCCTAAAATGATTTTGAGTTTGCAAAGATTGTCCCTCAGCAGATGAGAAATGCCAAAGCTCAGACTGTCTCTGCAACCCTGTTTCCCACTCCATGTGCACATGCACTGAGTTTCCTTACCCACAACCCCATCCCATCTTCACACGGCCATCGCCTTGTTCCCCTCACAAAATGCACAGGACTCATTTCAYAAGCATGGAAACCAATGATCCATCTTACCTGGATGTGGACTTGGAGTTCATATACTGCCTGGTCTGAAGACCAAGCAACAAATTTTGTAGCCTGGCTCTAAGTATTCCTCATTATAAAGTCAAAATTTTATTCTGCTCCTTCCTTCATCTTTTAGCAAGATGAACCTGACATCCAGAGAAATGATGGTCAAAATTGTCCATTAAATTCAGATGAAGACTAACAGGTAAGTACGAGATGACCTTCTTGAGTCCTTCGTATCAGACAGGAGTTCGTGCAATAAAATCRCAGCTGATAATGACTTCAGTTACTGTTTCGTGTTTCAGCTCTGCAAATCAGAGCCCATGGCCTCAGATTTACACATCCAGGCACTAAACCTAGAACCAAATCCACACAGCCAGCTTTCCTCGTGAAAATTGAAGCAGTATGCCCCTCTGTGCCATGTAGGCCTCAGTGGCAGATGCAGAGATCCCCTCCAACCATTAATGGCTTTATCTACAGGGACTACTTTTGTCTCTGCCACAAGCTGCCCCCGCTGCTAATAGAACCCAATTTCTCAGTTAAACACAACTCATCYTGCTCAACACACAGCAAGAATCCTGTAGAAAACCCACCCAACATATAATGTAATTGAGTCATCATGCTTTACAGTCCCATTAAAATTATAGCCACAGTTTTGTATTTCATATCTGCTAACTGCTGAGCTTTGCTGGATTGCTGTCTGTTAGCACCACTGATGCATGTCATCTCTTTGGTTTTTATTTAAAGCTTTCAAAGAAACCAGATATAGTGTCATGTTGCCCATGAAGACATGTAAAGTTCACCAGTAGAAACTAATCCAGACATCCCAGCTTGACCAGCTGTGCACAGAGCAGGATTTTAAGGTGTAGCATGCACTCACAGCCCTCGGGTTCCACTGACATTACACAACAAAGAATGAAGTTTGGCCAAACCCCTTTTCCATTCAGGTTGTTCAGGACCCCACTCCCCACCTAACAGAGCCTCCTGCTCCCATTTCTCCATTCCACCCACTTTGACCCACCCAAAAGCCAATCCTCCTTTGCCATTTTTTTCTTCTCCAAGCCCAGTCTTCTTCCCACAGGAGCTTTCTGCCTCCYCTCACCATACTTCAGCCATCTCATTCAGCCCATAATTGCCCTCTGCCAACTCTTCAACTTTTCCTCTTTACCACTTCAAGACCACATAAACACCCTTGGCTGCTGCTCGTGCCCCCTTATGTTGCTCAGCCTTGCCCCAGGGCACTGCCTTTTGGCTTCTACACCCTTCACTGTTYCTTTTGGTTTCTGCTGCCCTCCACCATCCCACAAAACATTTTTCAAATCACTTTAGCCAATGCTTGGACTTTATTGGGGGTCATCTAGCCAGTTCCATTTCCAGAGGGAACAAACCCCACTCTGCATTTCCATGACCCTGATAGCAATCTCCCTTCCGAAGCATCAATATTTGTTCTTCAACATCTCTTACAAAAACAACTCACAGTAACAWCTTGCCTAAAGTAAAACAACCCTCCCAATGCAGAAAGCCAGAACTTAACAGGGTTTAATTCATGCTCAAGAAGACAGAAAGTGTAAGTTATAAATACTAAAAGCACATGCCATGATGCAGCACTAGTGATAGACACTAGATTTCTCTGTTAGAGAAATTTCACCTAAAAYTCTAAGCAGTGAGTGCAACCCTTGCTTGAAGTTGTGAAGCATTGCATAAACCAAAAGCATTTTGATAAAGGAAGTAAAGTGATAAAGAAACTGAGAGTGCCATAAAAATCATATCCCATAAAAGGACACACTTTCTGTACTGTAAATCCAGCATGAATTCCTTTTCTCAATGAACCAAATAAATGAGAGAACACAAAGGGAATAAACTGCTTTTTGAAGAACTTTAGCTTGGAGAAAAACACAGTGTTACAGGTCTTCCTATGAAAGTTTTCAAATTTGAAAAAACTTGACTGGGAAATATAATTTACTATAAAATCTATAAATATTGGTTACCAGGGCAGAAAAAAACTGTATCTCCAGTTTTTTTGGAATAAAGGTTTTACCTTCTTGCAATACATATCAAGATCAAAAATGAGTTTCCACATTACACTGCTAAATAAGCAAGATGTTCTGAGTAAGACTAGAAATYTAAGCCCTCCCACCTCCAGCTCTTCTATTTGCTCTCTTCTGTCATTAATAAAGTGCTTCAAACCCAGTTTCCTTTGTAGACACAAACAGATCATCCATCTCCCTGAGTAAGACTAGGTGTCATCACTTTTCCCTTCTTTGTGAAATAATAAAAGTCATACTGCAGAAAAAAAATTCTTTTAAACCTTTTTCAGGCGGGAATAAAAACTGTGACCTTGGATGCCATGTGTGTGAAATCAAAGTACAGTTTCRAGTTACAAAGGTCTATAATCTACATTACTTTTTCTTGTGGATTTAGGATGGAGTGACAGCAATTTCTATTTTATATTGAAAGGATTCTGCTTCTTGTTCATATTKAAATATAAACTCTATGAAGACTGCAATTAGAATACTACTACTTTTATTTCCTGACAGAATGGCAACTTACCCTCATTTTACACCATGCAGATTAAATGGCTACTTTTAAATGCAGTTCTAAGGAGGACTGCCACAAAAACTAAGTTAAAAAGAGGCAGCGTTCCTGCAGCCCATTGCTCAACAGATCAGTGAAAGTAGATAGTAATCTTATATTATCCTCCACATTTGTTTGCATTCTGAAAGCATATAAGCCTTTCCAAATACACTTGATCTGTTTAGTTTTTATAGAAGAAATAGTCACAGCTGCCTTGTTAGGACCCACGAAGAAGAGTTTTACTTGCAAGACTGAAAGATTCTGTGCCTGCACTGATGTCTATTTTCTCTTTATTTTTCTCTATTTAATCTTTCTCACACTTGCTAATAATTTCAAATCATTATTTCAAATAAAGCTCCACAATACAGTGGAGCACATTTAGACTCTAAGAGACTGTGATTTACCACTTTGACAGCTCAACATTTTTAGCTTGTATACAGCACCCAGCCCAAAATGAACAACAAAAATGTTTTGAGCCTTCTTATTTTCAAAACAAATGCTTTATGTACAAGAATCTGTCATTTAGAAACAGCACACACACACACACATACACACATATACCCCCTATTATACAATAATTGATGTTTGGGGTTTATTAAAAGCACAACGATTGAAATGCATTTGATTATTTCTTTTGCAGCATGAAATAACCAGTTACCTTTCAGGAAAGGAGCCCTCCGTGGCACAAGCCCTCCTGTGATTTCCACCTGCTCTTGCTGATGTTGTTTAACCAGGTTTCCTTCGCTGCCAGCCCTCAAAATCTTTTCACCTAGCCTAATTTTTCGTGATCGGCTGTTTAAATCTTCTTTCCTAGACAAAGGCGATTTAGGAGCCGTGTTAGCTGACACAGGTCGAGCCAAGCGAGAGGGTTTGGACATCCTGCCTGTGCAGGAATGTACCTGCTCCGAAAGCAATTTCTAAAAAAAATCCTTTGCAGCTCACTTTCCAGCACAGAGGCTGGGGAGTTTGTGTGTGCAGCGCAGCTGGATGTGAAATGCTGTGCTGCCAGCCCGAGCAGYTTTAAACACCAAGCGTTGGGTGGTCACGCAGTTTCCCAGACCTGTGGAATGCAAATGCGTGCTGGGGTAAAACAGATGACTCTGTCCCAGTGCTGAGCCCCAGCCACGCTGTGGGGAGCAGATGCTCTTCCAGGGACTGTCTGGAGCTCCTGGTGTGCACTGAAGAGCGCCCTGGCACCAGGGGAACGCTCCACCTACGCAGGTACAGCGTGAGAAACCATCCAGGAATGGGGTTACCTCTGTGTGTGGGACCCTCCTGCATTCCTCTCCCAACCCTGTCTCTCAAACAAACACTTTCTTGTTTCAGCAGATTTCTTCACAGTGCGCCAAAACCGCACTGCTTCAGTGCTATATGGTAAATGCCCGATGTCAAGAACACATTTGTCTTTGAGTTAAGCACAGTGCCAGCTTAAATTGGATTAAATGATGCATATTCTCCTAGCACTGTATTATCTGAGTCACCAAAAGAAAGGAAGGATTGACAGCAAATATCATCTCTCTTTGAAAAATGGCCCAAATCCCTTATTATTAACTGGCATTGTTTAGGAAGCAACGCTGCACAGAATATTGCCTGTTATCCTTTCCTGTTTCACTGGTACATATATATCTAGAAAACCCCTGGCTTCTTGCACTGTACAGAYAATCACGTTCTTTACTGACTCTCTAAAGAAAAAATTCCTGACCTCAGGCTACATTATTTCAAATCTCAGTTCCTGGGTGCTCTTCTTTGAAAACGCCCAGGCAAATCCTGCCTAACTTTCCCTGCCAGCTCTGTGCTTATGAATGCTGCCAAGATGAAGAACATTTGGTCACATGAAAAGAAAATTCCATTCACCATAATTTTGGAAACAACTTCTAAAGAAAAACAACACAGTGCAAACAAAAGAAAACATCACAGCTACAGTTACAGTAAAATCTTTGTGCTGAATTTTAAAATGTATTTCCCACTATCCYAGGCAAACAGAATTTTGCATCTATAATAGAATATGAGGGACYATTTTATTTCAGAACTAGAATGAACATAAGCAAATCAATATTACATTAGCTAAAGCACTAAYAGATATTTAGGAGAAATGCTTAACWAGCAAAAAGAAAGCAAAACATCACTAAATTATTATGGCCATTCCTTTTTTTCTGAGATGGCGATTGTGCAATGAATAAAATAGYTTTGCAAGTTATTGCCATGCTTTTTCCAAGACTCCCACGTTAAATAGGTAATTGTTTATGCTTTCTCTATAAAGCATGGTGTCTATTGCTTTGTTGCCCCATCAAGAATGGGCCAGATTAAGTGCAGTACAATGAGCCTTGCCATGATATTATTCTGCAAATTATATTATCAATACAGAAGTGACTCTGAGTGGGAAGGGAGTGACCTCACAAGCATGAGAGTAATGGGGCTCATTAGCAGTGCTCAGACACAGCAGCTTGTGCAGAAGATGATAAAGAAAAGAAAAAGGGGTGAAATAAGATAATGGAGAGTTAACCACTTAACTGGAGTGAGGACTGAGTGAAGAAGGAAGAGACAATGTGAAAGCCAATATGTATCTGAGAGCTCAGTTGTACTGAACCTAAGAAATACTGTCATTCCCTCTCAAGATCTTGGACTGTTTGACCAATAGTAATTTTTAATACCTTCCATTATAATTTCTCATTGTGTAAGCAGACACAAATGCTGAATTCTCAAGAAGAGTTCTTAAACAGAGACAATAATTCCTGACACTACAAAGATATATTTTAATTCTGCCAAACACAGAAAAATTGTGATATAAAATCCAGTCCTGAGTGACAACAAAAATAGTATTTCAGTTTTTGAATCACTACTGCTAAAGCAAAATCGGACTGAGACTGCTGTACATTACATATTCATGCAAACGAAGCACACTTATCTCAGGTTCCTCATGGAAAGAATGGCCTCACCTGTGAAGGAGGATGTAACTAGATGGTCATTGTACCTGTAAACTTAAAACCATTTAATTTCTAAGCAAGGCAAGGACATAGTAAATTCAAGATTTTTCTAAGGCTCTCTCTAGCAACATAGCAAAAAAGATGACGAAAGGGAGATCTATCCATCAGCTTTTGACAGAAAGGCCCTAAGTTGTCCATTTGGATGCCAGTGTGACACTTCTGCACTGAAAGAGAGCAGCAACATCRTGGTTTTGACAAAAGTGAAGCAATTTGCCCCAAAGCAGAGACACAGCCCTGCAGAAAAGGGATGAGTCAAACATGTTCCTCAAACACGGGAAATTCCTGAAACATTCCAGTCAAAGATGACCTTTTCCAGTAATATCTCAGTGCCTGTGTCAYGTGAGGAGAGGCTGAGAGAGCTCTGCCTGCCCAGCTTGGAGGAGGATCTTATCCATGAGCATGGACATCTGATGTGGGGATGAAAGGGGATGGAGCTGGGCTGYTCTCAGTGGTGCCCAGCAACAGGACAAGAGGCAACAAGCACAAACTGAAACATAAGAGGAAAAAAGAACTTAAGAAAAGGCTTTTTATRCAGTGAAGGTGGTCAAACACTGGCACAAGTTGACCAGGGAGGTCAGAAAGTCTCCATTTCCGGAGAGAAGCAACACCCAACCAGACACAGCCCTGACCTGCCTGCTGTAGCTGAGTCTGCCTGAGCTGGGGGTTGGATTAGGCAATCTCCAGAAGTGCCTTCCCACCTGAGTTTTGTCATTCTGTGTTATCAAACTTATTCAGAGGCTTTTTATAAACTGGAAGTGTCAACATCTTAGAATCTGTCCMACAGTACATGTACTACCTTACTCCAAAGTCACAGCAATTAAACTATCCCATGGCTGACTGCCATTTCTGGGAGGATTTGCTTCCATTCTGGTCATTCACCTCTTTTAGCCTCTTGCAGTCTGTGGAACAGTGCTCCCAATAAATGTCTTGTTTGTTTGTTTTAAAGGCTCTGAGATGTGAAGTGGTGATTCCAACTGTGAGCATCAAAGCCCTTAAAAAAAAAATCTATCTCCCTAACAACCAAAACACCTAAAATCTCCACCGTAAATCACCCAAAACCCTGAAATAAACCATTCCAGAACATAAGCTGAGGCTGCTCGGCTGATTGTGTTTCAGGTTGGATGCAGAAACCGCAAATCGGTGCACTTGGGATGGAGCAGCATGAGAGGGCAGYCCAGGGCTCTGCCAGCCCCCTGTCACCCTGATCCCAATTTCACAGCTCCCCCCTCCCCATTCCCGCTGCCCTGGAGGCCTGGGCTCCTCCCGACTGTGGGGCAGGTCCCTTCCTGCCAACCCCACCCTCCCTCTCCACCGCGGGTTCTTAATGAAGCTCCCCAGGGAGTGAGTCTTTCATCAGCTCTCAGGCTTTTCAAAACYCCAAGCTACTCTTTTGAACTACTTTAAAAAAAACCCAAAACAAACCCACAAAACCAAAAATAAACAAACAAAAAGTTCAAGAAAAACCCAGCCCCTTTTCTCTCAGATTTCAGATAGCCAGCTTCAGCTAGGTAGAAACATCATATTGATGTAACATACCATTAAGCAAGAAGCAGTTCAGTTTGTCAGGTTTTYGTAAAGTGCTGTAGGAAGTTTTCTAGTGCTTTGGGTCAATGAATAAACTCTGTCACAGCCTCATATAGCAGAAATTAATATTAAGGACCAACAGTGCAGTTTATGCTTTTGAATAATCACATATATGTAAACAAGTRATATTTTTAGAAAACCATACACTTTCCATACACTATTTAAAACATTGTCCTTTTAATTTCAAAACTAACCTCTCCTTTTCCTGCCTAGAAAATAAATTACTACTGAAATCTGACAACAAGAATTTGTTAAGAGTTAGCTAACAGAAGGCATTTTTACCATAGCATATTAGATAGGTTATGATACCACTATTAACTTAAGCAATGTTTGTGCYCTCTGGGATAAAAGAAACATGACTATAGATGTTATTAATCCAAACAAAGCATTTGCAAAGCTTGAAATTTCCTTATTTGGGCAACCATGAAGTTCTAGTTTACATTTGCACATAAAGAGCTGGGCAGGGGAGAGGATCCTTCGCATATGAACCAGGAAAAATTGGGAGTTGATGCTGTACAGTTCAAGATGTGGTGCTCTCTCAGTCTCACCAAATCCTTTCCCAAATTTTGGCCTGCAAGTATCTAAAGAGAGAAAGGCATGTGTGCCCAAATATTCCAACTTCAGCAGACTCTTTCTAAACTATTGACAGCCAACAACTGCTACGCCAGTAAATGGAAGTTGCAGGTGCAGAAGTTAAAACTGCAAATTAATGAAGTCTTCTCTTTACAAAATTACGCAAGTAACCAGATGGCAAAACATTTTCAGCATGAAATGAGAAATAAATGTATAAGCACCAAAAGAACAAGATCAGTGATGAAAACAATTTCAGATGCAAGTCACAGATAGGTATGTAATGTAATAATAATAAAAAAAAAAAGCTTGGTGCTTCAGAGAGCTACATTTTCTAGTAACTGAAGCATGCAAAATTAGTGACAAGTTAATTTTGCAGATGTTAAAGCTTTCTTAGAACTATGTACCAGTGCTTTATTTCTCCATATATGGTTTCTAAAATAGTTGCATAATACAGAATATGCTTCACATGCAATACATTGAGACCCATTTTAAAAACATTTCACACTGAAGACATTCTTGCTGGGAAAAGAAACCATGCTAAAGGAACCTGGTCAYTCATTCAAAGACAAGTAAACCCTTCCAACAGAAAGCAAGCAGTAATTATGGCAAGTGCTGTTACTCTTGAATATGGTCTTAAAAAGGAAAGTCTGTTAAGGGTCATGCTATAATATAGCTGCCTAGAAGATGCTATAATTAAAGCAGAGTTGTCATTTATATCAGGAAATCCTTTTCCAGAGATTTACTACTCAGCCATAAAAATTTAATCTCAGTTCCAAGTCTTTAAAAAAAAAACCTAAATCAGAAAAAACCCTTAATGTCTACTTTATTTCCTTTTGGTGAAAATTTAGAAAATTAAACCATAGCGAAAACTTTCTGAAAGATAGAAGCATTTACAGCAGTAGAATCTAAATACCTTATYCTGCCACAAAACCAGAAATACCACCAATAAGGGCAAAGTTAATTTTATTATTTAATCGAAAACTGCATCTTATAT